AGCGACGTCGCACCGCGCCCACACATTATTGATTTCAACATATTGTTTGACCGATGTGTGTGCTTTTGCTGTGTGTCCTCAGTCCACAGAACTCGACCGCCCTCAGCTCGCAACCAGTTTTGATCATAACACAAAAAGCGGTATACTTCGTTATGGAATTTTGCCTTAGGATAAAATTATAGCAAGTTATACACAAATCTACAGAAGCAAGAAACACTAAGCTATCTAAAGAAAGTGTAAAATGTCTTGTCTATCGTGTTGTAACTCGTGCCCTTGGTGCGGTTGTTTGAGATGTGTTATGGACTGTGTCTGTGAGCACACGTGATGTGATGCCACCATTTGTTATCAGAAATGTTTTTATTATTTGTCCGCGGTGCGTGACCCCCTCTCCTCACCCCGTCCCACCCCCACTCCAGACACTCAAAGGAAAATTTCTTGCGGATTGTTATTTTTTTCAACATAATCAGCGCGCCGCCTCTCCTCCGGGTCTGGGACATTTATCCAATAAATAATGTTTATCGAATCCTTCACCTACTTCTTATACCTGACTCTCTGCAATGTGCGGAGAGTCAGGTCTACTTATGTCAACAATGGAAGTTTTCCGAAGCTTCGAGTCAACAACGATTCGCATATTCGCGAACAACGCGCGGCCGATGATGGTCCAAGGCCAAGGGTTATCACAACATTAGAGATGATAACCTTTTGTCTTGTATCTCGGGTTGCGCTCTATTGCTATTGCTATCAAATATTCCAGCTAATGGCTCTAATCTTATAATTAGTCTGATATTTAACCATGAAATGTAAACACAAAAACTGTACTGATTACTTGATCGTCTGGACTCCAGCTCAGCCCGCTAGGCGGCGGCAGCATTGGCGGTGTGTCCGGCTGCGAGCGGCGCATTCCTTGCCATATTATGACACCGTAGTGATGCCGCAATCACCCGGGGTCACAATTCTTTAACTTTGTAGCTTGTTATTGACACAAAGCACAAGCTACTGCATAATTTAATTGCTATATTGATGAGAAGTAATGATAAGAAAATGTATTACTGCGACATTACAACACTGCATCAGTAATTCTGTTCTTGCTATCTTAAAACAATGTGGTACGTTTATATAAGTTCCCAGTTCTCACACACCGGAAAACGTTCATGTACAACAAGACTTTAATTGAACACAGTAAGTTATAAGTTAAGTACATGGAGGTAATTTGTTTCATAATACGTGATATAAATATATATGTGTGTGTTAATTTGCTTTAGCTAAATAACATACGTCAGACGAGCGAGCAAAACACGCCGGTACGTGTGCGCTCTGACATGGCTAATGATTGCTGCGAGGAAAGCAACAGTTTTACCTACTGCTATATTACAGCTATGTGTTATTCTCATGTCAAACTTTATATTAAGCAAAAACTTGCGTCGTCTCACGTGGTCGTGATGAATTCAGAACAAATAACATTATGTATCGTGATATTTTCAATAAATAGAATTTATGTTTGTATTCGCAACACACGACAATCAAGCAGCATCAATAACGCCACTGACAAACAACGCACTTGCACACTTTTACAACACAACTTGCATTACACACTAATGTTCTGTTCAAACCTATAGCTAATACGAAACTACTCGATCTTAGTTTAGTATTTGGGTGTCGGTTGCTTTTGTTAGTAATTTAATTTAATGTCGGAGTATGTCAGAATAACACAAACATTTGGGCTTGGGAAATGCATTCCGTGCGGGCGAGTGCGAGTGCGAGTGCGAGGGGCGGTGCAGTGGGCACGACGTGACGTCACAACCGCGCCCTCCGCACACCACACTCGAGAGAATTCCCAAGACTTCGGGATGATAACGACCAGTTGTACACTTATAATTACTACAAAGGCATTTGCATCCTTAAAATCATCACATAAATTATACTGCGACTGCTTCTAAAAGTTAGTTGCGTTACGAGTCGATGTCTTTTACAGATAAAACATAGTTAGTAAGCTAGCGCGTGTAGTATCTAATTAAAGGTATGTGGGTATCGCGCGCTATCCTCGTCGCTGTTAGATAGGCTGTCTGTCGATAACGCCGCGACACCAGCACGCTAGCTGGCGCGACACAGAGATCTATCATTTGGCCATTTCGCGAGTCATTGTTTGTTACTGCTTCTACTAACTACTTCGCCGCCTTGTTTTTTATAAACATCTTTAATACCTGCCAATTACAATATGTTGTGAACGTTCAGCGCACTGAAGTATAATCATTAAACTCTAATTACCTACATACTTTAATATTGCATTTCCAAAATACATGGTTCGCCTTACGAATATAGGTATGTCCGTAAAGAAGGCAGTTTCATTCTGTTTAGTTTTTTAATGCGCTCGTCTTAACTATATTTTTTCAGATAACAATCCAGATCAAGTGCTTATAATGTCGACTGCCGTGGAGAACTTCGCGGTGGGGGGAGAGGCGCGAGTCAACGGCTCACAACATAACGGCTCAACTCAACTCAACGGCTCCGCACGACCCAACGGTTCAGCTCAACACAACGGATTAGCGCAACTCAACGGCACGGCGCAATTTAATGGTTCAGGGCAACTCAACGGCTCAGCACAACACAATGGCACCGCGCGCCGCAGCCTATGGGACGCGCAGTTCCTCCCGCCTCCTCTGGTGTTAGAAGATCGCGCTCGCGCTTTAAAGGTAACGTATCACGTGAAAACTACTGAAGCAACCGGCATGTTGACACTGTGATATATCTGATGGTTCAGATTTCTTATAGGCTCAACTCGGCGAGTATCGTTATCGCAAATATTCAGCCGCTACCTGTTTATTGGAAACATGCGTAACAACAGTTTATCGTTTAATTACGCACTTTAAAGCTACAATGCTACACAAAAATCCAGATTAGAGAGCGAAAAACGATTATCATATATTTTTAACGAATGAAAAATCCATCGATTAGATAATAGATGCTTTGTTCAAATACAACATGCCTATTGGATTGGAGCTAGACTTGTAGAAATATGACAATGTATATCCGGCGCGCGCTTGCTTGCGACCGCAAGCTTGCTAGCCGCGGTGCAGCAAGCGCATTCTCACATACAATACACACTTTATACTTTACCCGCGAGCTGTTCTTGCATACAACATATTTACGAATTACTTGTACAACAATTGTTTATGCTATCAAGATGATATAAGAAATAGTGTTATGTGAGTCAACAATAAACGATGGAAACTTTATATCAGCTCGTTTTGTTTGTAAATACAGATTCAGATATTAACATCTCGAACAATAACGGATGTTCTATGGCAGAGACGTTGCACGAGGCAATGAAATCATTTCAGAGGTCAAGACGTTTCGTTACGTTAGACGTTCCCTCGTTTATCAGTAGTATAGTGATAGAGGTTTAGAGCGTCGCGGTTCAGCTGCAGCTGATAGCTCTAACTGTAAACTGAACTGTCCATACACATACTCGTACATCGGCAAGTTTGTACAACATAAATAAATATTACATAGGTATAGGAACATTATTTGATACATGATCATCTGATTTTGTAACCAACAAGGTACATTCGGTTGTGTTCTAGATATATTGTTTAAGAAAGCTCTTTATGACATCGGTCAGCAAAGCGCAAGCCTTTTCACGTCTTGATGTTCACCTCACATGGGAAATGAATCCTCGTTGCACGTGTATCATTAGGTGCAGTTTCTCGATAGTTCTTCTTGGTGTTCATTAACGTGATAATTGCCTGGAGGCGATGTGATGACGGCGGCGGTGGGGCCCTCTACAATTAATTGTGCATTTAATTGGCATCGCCGCATGGCAAGATATAGACTTCTTCAATGCGATGACATTCTGTTTAACAATTTGATCTATTAATTGATGAGTAACATTAAAAGGCCAAATAAAAAATATATGTATCTTATGTATGTACGGTATGAAAATTGTGTTAGAGAAGTCACACGGAGGACATCGCTGTCTTTTATAATTTGCTATTCATTGCTACCAGAAGCGGCCGGTGATATTTAGGCCAGTGTTGTGTCACGAGACCACTCGCCGCCGCCGCGGTCATTGTTGCCCACTTGTCCGCTTATTTGCGAATTCCTACGAGCACATACAAAACCCCGACACGTGACCAGCACTGTGAGGCGAACTAGGTGCAAAAGTCGCAGCTGAGGGCCAGCGCGCACGCAGAGTTGACCACTTCGGTGTAGAACTTCAGAGGCGATTTATACTATTGCCCATAATAATACTCGAGATGCGGCCCACACTGAAGTCAGCCTAAGATACAAACATATATTTATTTTTAGTGCGACTTTGAGAGTTGTAGAGTGTATAACCGTGACTTTCTGAGACCAAAATCTCCGTTTATAACATATCATCGTCTCTGTCATCTTTGAACAATAAAGGAATAACAAAATGTTTTAAACAGATATTGTGGTCTCAGAAACTCACAGTGACTGTGCAATAATTTAAGCCATAAAGATAATTGCTTAGAGCGTTTACAATTGTAACCTGATACCCCGTCGCGGTTAATTCTTATATTATTTTATTGTATTTATAATATTCTGATACCACGATAAGATAACTCAACTAAGTATTTTTCTGCGAAACTTTTGCGCAGTTCGTTTTGTTTGCTTATTTTATGTTCGGTGAGTTCCGTAACACCAAAGTCAACAGGCAGGCACCACCATCTCGGCCGGGACACACCGGGACCTCAGCTATGTTGTCACACGAGGCTAACTAAATATTATAAATCATTAAAATGCGAACTGATACGACCGTTACTAAGTTAAAGTGATAGTAGATAGTGAACTGATAAATAAAAATAAAATGTAATATTAATTGTAAAATTGTCTTCTAATGATGATATTATAATGAACGACGGCTAATAATACGAGTAACATGTCACTCTGTGGCTGTTGTACAGTCAAGTACATCCGTAGAGATAAATCTCCGGCTTGCTTGTTGTGAGACTGTTATTGAGGCGGAGACTTGTATGCAGATTCAGACTCGGCTGGCTGGACTGGTGCTGTGCGGGCAGGCGCTGGTGCGCGTCGGAGAGACCTTCGCGCGCGAGCTGGAGCGCGGCCTGTGCGACCTGCCCTCCAGCCTGCAGATGGAGAACACCTACGTGCCCGAGCTGCCCGACGGCACAGGTCGGTTGCTAGCTGCTATTGACCTCTTATAATTCTTTGCTTATATAGTTTTAAAACATGTCAAACTTGAGTTGTAAGCCGTTAATACGAGTAAATCGCTCATGCACGAGACATGATGTATGCGAGCTTGCACATTGACTCCTTCGCCGCACACACAATTGATTAGCAATGGATGAATCCATTACGCGGCCGAGCACGCGACGTCACTCCACTCGTAAAAGGATCTTTACACTCTATATTATATATAGTAATCACACAAAAAAATATAACACTTCACTTTTTAAAATGCATTAATTCCATATAAGGAAAACTTAACAGTACATTCTTTTAAATAATACGAAATTGTACAAGAAGAGAAAGCAACGACAACAACGAGAAACAAATACAAGATGTTTTAATAACAAACAGAATTTCGTAAAAAAAAAACAAAAAGTGGAAAATACATTAATTATAGTCACGACATTTTTTATATTAGATCCTGCTCCAGAAAGACACAATTATTGGTCTCTCAATTTTGATGAGTTCTTCATTGTGAGTGAGGTGCCTACAAGAGTTATTGTTTTGTGGTGCGCAATGTCGTCTCTAACACTGTGCCCGCGTCTTGCAGAGGAGGGGGTGTTCCTGGCGCTGGACCTGGGCGGCACCAACTTCCGCGTGCTGCTGCTGCAGCTGGCCGCAGGGCAGCTGGTCCGGGAGCGAGTCCGGCAGTACCACATCAGGTGTGCCACTCTTTTCCGCTCGTCCTCGTTCACACCCCACAGGGTCATTTTAAATCGTTTTTTTTATCAACTTCTATCTATGTATTTTCTATATTATTTAATCGCATCTCATAAACTTGCGACTGCGAGGTTGAGTACAGTGGTGCGTGTGCATGTTGCAGTGACGCGCTGCGCTCGGGGCCGGGCGAGGACCTGTTTGGCTTCCTGGCGGACTGCGTCCAGGACTTCCTGCGCGGCGAGGGAATGGAGGAGCAGGAACTCTCGCTCGGTGAGCGGCTCACGCGACGCGCGGCGTCTGAACTACTCTTATCTTGCTGCAGTCATCTCGAACGAGATATCTTTCATCCGCAGGGTTCACGTTCTCGTTCCCGATGCGGCAGCACTCGATCTCCTCGGGCGAGCTGCTGACGTGGACCAAGTCATTCTGCTGCGGCGGCATGGCGGGCCGCGACGTGGCGGCGATGCTGCAGCACTGTTTGCACGAGCGCGGCTTGCGCGTGCGCGTGCAGGTGCTGCTCAACGACACCACCGGCACGTTGGTCGCCGGCGCACACCGCGACCCCGACGTCGGCGTGAGTCACCACTTTAAGCTTTTTACTTTATATCGTGGGGAACATCGTGTCTGCAGCGACTTAATCCTCCGTACTAATCGATTTTTGGTCAAACATTGATAAATAAATAAATGAATATTGTGTGCACGGTGTGAGGTGGTCGTGTAGGCGCTAAGGCAATGCTATGCGCAGATCGGCGTGATCATGGGCACGGGGTCCAACGGGTGCTACGTGGAGCGAGCGGAGCGCGTGCAGCACTGGGAGGCGGGCCGGCGACGCGCGCGGGACGTCGTCGTGGACGTGGAGTGGGGCGCGTTCGGCGACAACGGCTGCCTCGACTTTCTGCGCACGGACTACGACGCCGAGGTGGACGAGCGCTCGCTGCTCACCGCCTCCTTCACGTGAGTCCCGCGCCATCTCTATTTCTTACAGCATACCGCACAAGTGCACTTTCAATTCTTCTCTGTTAATAAGCCAATAAGCCTACTTTCAAGTTTTTAGTTCATGATTTAATTCGCCATGGCGTAAAATAGTTAAAGTAATCGTTATCTCGCTCCTGGGCCCGCTGCAGGTTCGAGAAGTACATCGGCGGCAAGTACCTGGGCGAGCTGTTGGGCGTGGTGCTGGGCGCGCTGGCGCGGGACGGTCTCTTCCCCGCCGCGCCCGCGCCCGCCGCCCTCACCACCGCGCACCTCAGCGTCTTCGAGGAGTGAGTTCTCCGCCTGCCGCTCTATTTTACTACTATTTAAGTGTAGGGGCGCTGCAGATGGTGCTTAACATCATCAATGAAGCCGCGTAACGTCGGTAACGCTCTCGTGTCCTCGAGCAGGGAGAACTGCGCCGGCGCGTGGCGGGAGACGGCGGACACGCTGGAGGCGGCGTGCGGCGCGCACGTGACGCGCGCGGACGCGCTCGTCGCGCAGCACGTCGCGCGCGTCATCTCCAACCGCGCCGCGCAGCTCGTCTCCGTCTGTGAGTACTCCTCCGTCGAGGTCGCGCTGACCGACGCGACCCGACCTCACGTGATGATGATGACGCGTTGTCGTGCGGCAGGTGTGGCGTGGCTGCTGCGGCGCATGGCCCGCGAGCGCGTGGCGGTCGCCGTGGACGGCTCCGTGTACAAGCGGCACCCGCGCATCCAGCACCTCATGAACAAGTACGTCGCCCTGCTCGCGCCCGAACACCCCGTGAGTACATGCACGACGCATTTCGTACAAGTTTACTTCAATAATATATGAAACACATGTAAGACCGAAACGGTTAACGTTATGCACGCGCTCCCGTGCGCAGTTCACGCTGCTGGGGGCCGAGGACGGCAGCGGCAAGGGCTCGGCGCTGACTGCCGCCATCGCCGCGCGGGTCGCTGCGCGCCACCTGCCCTAGCGCCGCCTCACACACGCCGCACCGCCGCCGGCCCTAGGGCGCACTGCCTGCCCTGGGGCGCACTGCCGGCCCTAGGGCGCACTGCCTGCCCTAGGGCGCACTGCCTGCCCCAGGGCGCACCGCCATACCTGGGGCGAACTTTCGTCCAGGACGCGCGTCATGTGCGCACGTCAACAGGCAGATGAAGGCAGAAAAATGGTTATTCCGTCGTGTGATTGTGTTCTATAGCACTCAGTTTGTAAGTTGTTCAACAAGATACTCTTACATTAGAATGCCAGTGAGGCGCTGGTTTACTGGCCGGTTGGCTGGATAGTGCTCGAGGCGGCGGCGGCGAGATGAATACGTGATTAGTTAGACTTTTATCAAATAATGACTGTGATTAGTTTGTATGTATGTGCATTGTGTATGAGTTGTTTTGTATGACAGCGTGTGTGTATGAATGTGAATAAATGATGTAAAGTTGTGTTAAGTTGTATGTTGTGATATGCATTTGTAGAAGTTAATTAGATAATGATATTATTATAAGAACGACACAATATTTTAATCGTTACAACCTCTGAGTGAGTGAGAACTTTTTCGGCTAAGAAAAAAGACAAATAATGAAGTACATATTTGTACGGGTATAGATTGAGGTGTGCCAGTGGCGCTGGACTGGATACATCTATTTAATTATACTGTAACTGTTGTGATGATTCAAACAATGAACATCGCACAACAAGTGCTGGAGCGCCTTCCAACACGACTGTGTGACACTCGTGTGCTGTGTGCGTGTGAAGCTATACTTTAGTGCCATATAACTAAGGGTGAATTATGTAGAAGTACACATGAAATATATTTTTATAAAATTTTATGATCGGGACTGACTCCCGCTAGTTGTAAGTTAACATGTAATATTTGTTATTCCGATGGGAATTTTTATTAGTTGTTTCGTCTGTCGAGTGTGAGCGGACACTATACTGCGGCAGCGCGTCGTTGCTCTGCGCGAGCTGGTCGCAGAGGCACGACTTTTGAAATGTTATATTGAATCATATTATTATATTTGTATTTTACACAATAATAACCATGGGTTTTATTTAGCTATAATTTTCTTAACTATTTAAACGTTGAAAAGCTTTCACATATCTTGAAAGTTTAACACAGTTTTAATTGGAATCCTTGAGATCACTAGATCACTGCCAACAAAAGTTTTATATAACGCCAATCTGCACTTCCATACAGACAAAAACGTAGAGGAAGTATTACAAATACAAGGACAGCTTTTATCAAATAAAACAAACGATGAATACAAATCACTTTAATACTTCACAGTACCGAGTACAAAGAAAGTACAAACAAATAAATAGCAAGTAGAATATGTTCCGTTTATAATATTAATGTTGTCACGTGACCTCCACCTTCTCGCGCACCTTGCGCAGGATGCTCTGCAACTCGGAGGCTGACGTCGTCTTGTACTGCAAACAGGCAAGTAATCTGTTTCATTCTGACGACCAGACGGTCGTAGTCGTAGAGGTCGCCTTCGTACTCCAAAACATCATACAACACTGACATGTCTCTACAACGTTTAGGTGTTTTTGTGCAACCTCGTATTTACATAGTGTAGTCTTTGTGTCTTACAAATATCTTTGAATGGATGTTTGCTGACAGGTAGCTACAAAACTGCTAAACTGATATGGAACTGGCTACTTACAAAGTTCTTTTTTTTATCTAAGTGTCATTTATTTTTAAAATGTCTGAAAGACGCGCGCTTATTGACAAGCAACAACCCGACTTCTAGTCTTTAGTACTGTATGTGGCTACATTCGCTACTCGCGTCGCGACAGACTTTGATGACTAGTGTCAGAGTGCAGAGAGGGAGGGAGAGGCAGCTCACCCCGGAGACGTTCCGCTGCACGAGCACCTGGCTGTAGAGCCTTTTGCCCTCGTCGTGGCCGAGCGCGCGCTCCAGCTGCGCGCGGCTCAACGCGAACAACTGGTGGCCGGGCACGCGGAGCTGTCGCTGCGCCGCCGCGCTGAACCCTTTCGCCTCCAGCCACGCCACCACCTCGTCCGGATTCGATTTCTGACAAACGGCCACACGAGGTACACAATTATTACCATGTTTTAACATTGTATACGAACCGACGACATGACACATTGTATTCGACTCACCTGGTGTATGAAGATGTCGGGCGTCTTCTTGAAGTCGAGGCGGCGCTGCTGGATCTGCGGCAGCACCACCTTCAGCTCGTCCGCCAGCTCGCTGCCCGTGGACCTGCTCGCTGCGGACACACGCACACACACACATACATAAATCGTCGCCGCCTGCGCGCTCAGGCTCAGCTCGCCCTAGTTGACAGCTGTTGCATTACTCAATAAAAAACGAATTCAATAATTCTTGTAAACATTTCCTGGTTAGTTTGCTCTTGCTTAGTTGAGCGGTGAAATGCTCTGCAACGTTGTTCATAATGAGACATGAAATAAACAAATATATTGAGGAAACATGCTTACATTTGATGGTGTCAGTTTTGTTGGTGACGGGCGGTGCGGGTGGCGCGGGGGGTTGAGGCGGCGGCGGGGGAGGCTGCGTGGGCGCCGGGGGCAGGGGCGGCGGCGGCGGCGGGGCGGGGCTCTCTGCACACACGACACGCCTTGTACTACACACTGTACACATTGCCAGCTCAAACATCCTAGATGTTTGTATCAAAGTAAATTGTTCGTCAAAGTGTGACTAATAAATATAATAGCTCGCCTCCAGTAATCTTGTTCAATTGCCAGCCAAACAATCTAACTGTGTCAAACTTGTGCAGAACTTGATCGCATTTACTTTTTACTTGTGATTGAATTATTCGACGACATGTATTGAGGCTAACTTTGTTCTATAACAATTTTTCAATATTTATAAATTAAATTTCTATTTGTTTAAAACACAACTATTAGCATTGATATTGTACAAAAAAGTTAACAAGATAAAATGAAGATATAGACACAACAAAACTTACCGCAACATGTACAAGCACACAACACAGAGCGAGGCAACACAACACACACGTACACACACACACAACACTATGCCAATAAATATGTTAACAACAACGTAGCAAATAGACAAATAGCGTAAATAAAAAAACATTATGGCATAAGTGAGTGAACAGTTTTAATGAAAAAATTACCTATAAATTTTAGCGATAGGGAGAAGCACTTGGAAGGAGTTCATGAAACAACGATAGTGTTATGAAGGATTTAATGTAAAAAAATGTAAAATACACAAAGACAGAAGTGGCGAGCGGTGCGGGCTGTGTGTGTGCCGGTGAGCGAGGCCGGCACACACACAGGCCGCACCGCATCGCCCACAATCACTATAATATATTAACATTTTCTTTTATATCTAGATCGCTTTACAACGAGTACGGTTTAATATTATAATAATTTAAATAGCACTAAATATTTTCTTATAAACTCTGCGGAGATAAAACAAATACATTTGACAATTTACAGAGAAGAATAAGTTCAACATAACATTTAGCACAAACGTGATACGCACAACAAAACAATATTACATCATCTATACATACATACATACTTATATCTTTGTAAGTGACTAAGTAACATCATTATGTGTATTATTTGTATGTCGTAGCAGTTTGCCTACAGCGAGCGCGTGCCTTTACAAAACACGACACAATATACATGTATTGAACCTTTGTGGTTAGAAATGAGTGAAAATGATGTCTAAATGCCTCGCCTTGCGAGAAAGTATCCGTAAAGTTATCGTCATTTGTATTAAAACGAGAAATCTCTTTTTGTTGATGACTTTACGAAGATGCATATCGCAAATATTTGTGAAAGACGCTCAGATCTAGTTCTCTCATGAAAGGGAGTCCCTGATGACAAGCGCACGAGTCCCGCATCGCGACACAGCGACACTAGCGCCGCCTCGGCGGAGACACGCAACATCACTGCACGCACGCACACACACACACACACACACACACAGACAGCGCGAGTCCCGATACTTCTTATTATCATATTATGTTAAGTACATTTATCTCTATGTTGTATGACTAAGCATCAGCCAGGACGGTCCAGTGCACCGCCCGGGGGGAGGGGAGGTGGTTACAGGGAAGTGGGGCTTTGTAATTTAGGTTATTGTTAAGTATAGGTAGTGATATTTAACTGAAATCCTTAAGCTTCCTTGACGCTCATCCACTCGACGTTTATGATGTGATGGATGTCAATCAAGAAGCAAGATAAGAAGTTTGACTCCATATTTTATTTAATTATGTATTATGTTCATGTCAAAAGGAATTATCATTATTTTCGACGAGGACGAGGTGGTCTGAGTGTGAGGGAGGGACAGTGGGTTCTCGGCACGCGCTAGAAGTATCGGAACTCGCCCTTCTTGCCGAGGCGCTCGCGGCGCACCCAGTCGGCGCCCTGCCCGCCCGGCCCGCCCGGCCCGACTCCCGCTGCCCTACCCGGCGCGCCGGTCGGGCTGCTTCCGCCGGACCCGCGCCCGCCGCTCTCCTGCAAACAAAACCAAATTAACAATTTATTGTTCTCGTCGATGAGTTATCAAGCGCCGGCAATGAATTGAATCGAATCAATCGAAGCACGAGGGTGTCAGCTCTAATCATGAGTTCGAAACCTGCTTAGTTACTGATATTCAGTGGTACCAGAAAAAAAACTTGTTGGCGACTTTCTTCACAGTACGAACTTCGGAGAAACGTACATAAGAAATTCAAGGAAAGAAGAACAAAATGATACATGACGAAATCGATCTAGTACCCATTTCATGGGTGAATTATATTGGCTTACTATAGTACTACAACGTAGAGAAAGGCACCTGATACATGGTGTATATGGGGTTGGGGTAGAGGTGCGGGGGGCTGCGCGCGGGCTGCGGGGAGCCGGGCGGGGAGAAGGCGGGCGCCACGATGGTGTGCGGCACGTGCGCCGCCACGCCGCGCCGGTTGCGCGCGCGCCACCACTTGCGCGAGTCGTCCAGCACCTGCAACACGCACGCGACACCACTCGGACTTACACAAATGTTAACTTGTCGCCGTCGAATGTTTCTAGTCAATTAACAGTCAACAGCGGACTGCGGTCCGCAGCTGCGAAAGTTGCCGCTCCGACGCCCGTTGTACCGGTGCTACACCTCGGCCTCACCGGGCGGCAGTGCGCGTCGGCGAGCGGGAGAGCGATGACGTCACGCCCGCACCTACCTCTAGGTACTCGCCGCGCACCACCGACAGCTCCTTGTCGTTGTTGGCGGTACGAGGGTAGGTGACGCGCACAACGCGGCCGCCGCGCGCCGCCACGCCGCGCGCCCACGCTTCACCCAGGTCGTCTGCAGCATCACATCACATTACTTAAATTTATCTTCTTGCTTCGAGAAAAGAAATAGTAGTTACTATTGTTTGTTTTGGTCACTGTCTATAGTATCATTAAGAACTCCATCTTAGTAGGTAAAACGGCCTAGGGCCCCTTTAACGTCGCGCAGAAAGAGGGCCTCACCATCCTCCCTGTCCGGGCCGCGATAGGGCATGCTGCGCTCGGGAGCTCCGCGGTCGGGCGAGGACGCCGCCGAGCCGGAGTCCTCGCGCACACGCGACCGCGTGTTCCTGCAATGAGCCAAATCGCACGTCATGCACCGCTTCTCAATAACGTACAACACGACACAGGTTAAAGCTCACAACGAGTAACAAAGATAAATGAGTAATCTGCAGCACCTAGGGGAGGGGGATACACGTACCTCGGGTAGGAGCCGTATTGCTCGGAGTAGAGGTCGGGCTCGTCGCGCTCGTACCCGTACCCCTCTGCCCCTTCGCCCCGCGCCGCGCCCTCGCCCCGCGCCTCACCCCGCGCCTCCTCCCGCAGCTCCCCGCGCTCCCCGCGCGCCGATTCGCGCCGCGGTGACGCCCTTCGGGACATACACGTCAACGACACAGGACGGCACGACACGACACACAGACATGTAGCGTGACACATGGACGTCTGACGATGGTGCTCTCACCTGCGCAGCGGCTGGTCGTCCACCTGGTAGTCCGGGGTCCAGCCGTCCATGAACACCGGCTGATAGGGCGGGATCGTGGTCTTCCATTGTTCTCTGCAAGCAAAAGTAGCTATTGATCTTAGCTTCGATTTCCGCAGGACTGCAGTTATTTGATGTATGATCCCTGCCCTTTCAGAAACGTTTTCTATTGCTTTACACCTTCTATTTCGTTACTATATTATCATTACTGTACTCGTAGATCTAAATCCGGCTATAAAATGTTATCAATATCTACAATTTCGTAATTACAAACCGACTAACAATCGTAAATATCTCTCTTATCTATAAAATTATCTCCTTGTTGTTTGACAACGTCGACAGACGGAGTGGAATAGAAATATATTCAATACAAAAAGAATCGAACTATTCAAAGACTAACCGAATAATAATATCGCCGTACGAGATGTCGTCGCAGACCAGCTCCCAGGGACTGCTGCATTAGCAAAACAAGCGGCGTTTAGTTACCTCGGCACGAGCCAGGCGTCGCCCAGCGAGTGCCACAGCTCGGTCTCCTTGCTGGTGACACAATTGGCGAGCAGGTTGAGCGCGTCGCGCGTCAGCAGCGGCTGAACGACGCGCGCCGCCAGTCGGCCGTCGGCCGCATCCTGCGCCGCGTCCACGATTAGCGCCAGCGGCGTGAACAGGAAGTGCACCAGCTCCGGCGCGTTGGGGTCGTGGATGTGAGCTCGCAGCCGCGCCAGCAAGTTGAACGACAGCTTGAACTTCTGCAGCACGTCGACGAAGTCCCGCTCGGGCGGCGGACGTGTGCGCAGCGCCAGCATGCCGTCTCCCGCGCGCCGCGCGCCCCGACCCCCACGTCGCCTCCGCTCCAGCTCGCGCGACGCCGCTGCCGCGTGCTGTAGCCGCGCTATGAACTTCTCGATGTCGTCGAAGCACCGATTGAGAATTGCGATGTCCTGCTCGTACAGACGCTCCGAACCTGTCGACGAGGCGTCATCACGCTCGCCGCCCGAGCCCGCGCGCTCGCCGCGCTCGCGCCCCAGCTGCGCCGCCATTTGCTGCAGACACGAGCACAGAGAATCAGGATCAGACCGACGGATCTCCCGGCATTTCCCGCTGCGCAGTCGTCACAGCGCTGTCTTATTCGTAATTTTACAATGAGGACTATAATTTAGGTCGACCCCATATGTATGTAATTTGAACGACCGGAGTTCAATTTTGTTAATAGATAATGAATGAATAGTCAATTCAAAGTCAAATCTTGTTATATTTAACTACTACAGCAAAGGTTTAGTAAAACATTAGTGGATGGAAACTGAACCGTGCTTTAAATAGGCATATTTACTAAATCACAATTAAATGCTGCACGAAATCTGTAATAAAATATTGATATTCTTCGCCTCGGTGAATATTAAATATAATATAAATGATTGTAATGGAAGACGAGAGGACGGCTGCAGTGGATTGTCTGGTTTATCGTGGGCTCCATTGATACTCGCAGATAACCAATGAGATAAGTGGCAAGTAGCCGGCTGCGATAACAGGGAACCTACTTCTAGAACTGGAGCGATACTGTCGATGTCGCTCAAGTGACGTCACCCTCATTGGTATATTTACCACTACACTTCTCATTTTCAACGAGTCACGTACGAATACTATGGCTTTTAATGTCGACGTGACATAATGTAGACCCTTCTTTGGATGATTATAAACCATGACTAGCTCTCACCTGTCGCCGCGGGCGCTCCATTTCGCTATCTCTCTCCCTCTCTCGCTCCCGCTCGATGATGAAGTCCCGTCCGGAGTCCCCCGCTGTGCCGCCCACGCCCCTGCACATCACAAGGTCACTCACTGACGATACAGACAGACACGTCCCGTTTACCAACTTTGAAAAGGTTACTTAGTTTTTACGAACTCATATAATGCTACGAGATTCCTGTCTTTTTCTTTTGTTTAGATTCTATATTAAAAAGTAAGTTCATTTTACTTCATTTTATGGTTATTACTAGTCCTTTGAAAGGAAAGATATGGCCGCACCGGGAGCGCCAGGAGTATGCGGACACGGGCAGAAGCACCGTGGGCGGGAAGCGGTACGAGCGCATGCTGCCGACGGTTGCGCGGTGTGTGCGGTCTGTGCAGTGCGCGCGGTCTGGCACTCGCACATCCCATAGCCGCTGCGGCCACACGAGATATCGCCGAGATAACACCTCTCAGCAGATCCTCGTCCGATAACTTTGTTATCTTATTTAACTATAATTATATTTTTCTTTTGCTGCAACTAATCGCGGCTGCTGTGTATTTGGGAGCCGAGACTGGGCGTAGAGGGATAAGGGGGGGCGAACACTGACTTGAGCGCGTTAAGCTCCTCGACGAGGGCGTGCGCAGGCACGTCGTGGCACTGGAAGATGTGCAGCTCGCGGCGCGCGTCCGGTGCGTCCGGCGCCCCCGCCACGAAGGCCAGCACGTTGTTGTACAGCTCGCCTGGCTCAGGCGACGTGAACGCTGTTGGCGTGTGCACGTGCGACACCGGGAAGCGCTCCATTATGCTCTGCCGCGCACACATACACACACATACACAGACATACACGAAACATTAGTATTTTAATAGAAAACTTGCCGAGGAGCAGAAGTCTTGTATTCAATGAAGTTATTTAAGCGCCAAGCTCGGGAAGTCTTTTTAACAAATTTGTTCGGTGGCCACTTAACAATAGCCGATTCTTTTGTTTCTTATTTAAAAATAAAAAAAAACTTTCTACTGAAATCTCAAATGGTATGTCCTGTCATCTATCAAAGTCAGTTCAATCGTTTGGACTCCCGGTGGTCACAATGGAACTTACATCCGTCCATACATACAAATTCACATACATAAAAACTCACGTGCGACAAATATTTCCCTCTTAAGTCAATGGAGCAATAAGTTAAAACTGCATTATAGCAGAAAGAACTTTTGTAAATTGAGAGTGGTGTCATACCCCAGTCTCATAGTCCATGACCAGCACCCACTGGTCCTCCAGGCACAGCTGCATTTTCTGACTCCATATACCTGAAGAGGAAATACATGTGATTAAACAGAGATTAGTCATGAGAATAGTTGTTTTTATAAGATAAGATGGCAAGCTCGAGCAGCGGGAACACCGAGGTGATCATCATCGCTTAGTCACCTGTTTATCAATTGTATGAAAAATTGACATGTGAGACAACGTGTTATTATTAAGTATAGAGAGACAGAGAATGAATGTGTCAGGTATTCATTATTCAATAACAGATATGACATTTCGTTTTGACATTCACAAACTGCTGTAATTATAATAAGTCAATTGTTGTGTCTGCGTCGGAGTCATGTTGTAAGTCAGTTGCTAACTGTAACATGATGACCGTTCGCAGAGATGACGGTGACGTAACCAGTGCACACTTGTTTTGTTTATGAGATGTGAGTGAGCGCATGTAGTGTGACCTTGAGAGCGCCAGACTGCCGCCCTGGCACTCGCTGTTACCACCGAGTAGGAGAAGGATACCATATCGTCTGTATTAACAAGAAGCCGCGTGTTGCGGTGAGGAGAGGTGAGGATCTTACCGTTGGTCTTCTCGAGTTGCAGCAGCCGGCGCATGCCGTCCGCCGGATACACGATGCCGGTCTCGCGCGTCACCGTGAACGTGGCCAGGTGCTCCAACACGTATGCGCGCAGCCCCGCCAGCTGCTCGAACTGCTCGAGCGCACGTTGCGTGTCCCCCATGGCCCCGCCCCCGCCCCCGGCTGCGCCACCACCCCCGCCTCCGCGCAGCGCCATCCTTCGCGCCCTCACGCAAGATGGCCACACATGCCCGTGGCACTGACACTCGGTGGCTTTCGGTTGTAATCACTTATCTGTTAAAAAATATATGTATGTAAATATATAGCTGGCTTAGAATAATCAAAGGTAAGCAATGATGTTTAAATGGCATGGCCATAATTGTGGAAAAGGTAAATTCCCCGTTTGTTTATGTTTTCGCATCTGCCCATTCATTTACGGCAACGCAATATTAGATTATGTTGCTGCAGGTCATTATAGTGCAGATGTAAAGAAATGCTTGCTCGTTTACCAGCTTCTGTCACCCCCTCTGTGCAACACGTGTCATTTATGCTGTAACGGAAATGAACATCCGACTTTTCTTTTGAGATGGTTGTTAGCCGCCGGTGCAGCCGCTGTAGGGACTTCACGTTGATTAAATAAAACGATCAATGCTTATTGTTACTTCTGATCAGTTTTCGCCGCACCGGTATTTACTTTTAGACTTTCTTTCACGTCTTGCCCTCCTCGCCCCAAGATCTGTGTCATGTTGGGTTCCGCACATTTTCATTTCGTTCACGCCCACGTCACGTTGGCCGAACTTAAGTCCGCTTTTCACTACAACAATTTGATAGAAACTAGCGCGATGAGTCGGACTCGGAAGTGGCATCAGGTGCGCGGGTGCGCGGAGAGCGCGCGGGGCTGCGCGTGCGCCGCATCGCTAGTGGCTAGCGGCGTCTTGCTCGCACTACGCTCGCTCTTCAAATTCCGTCTTGTTCGCACTCGTGCAGAAATGCAACAGGATATAGTTTTATATTCCAGCGGAAGTCGCTCCGTTACTTCTGACATTGTATTAAAATTTGTTAAGAAATTGTCAATTAATCAAAATTGCAATCCGTTCTGTGCAGACAAAGGATAGGCCGGACAAAATATATACGTAGGTATAACCCGTTTGTGTCCCCACTATGGAAGCATCTGATTTGGTGAGCTGCGGTATTATTTGTTTCATGTGTGTCTGCATGTGTCACGAGGTACTCGTATTGTCGCAGCGCGACTATGTGACAGGTCCGTCATCTCGGAAGATCGTTGAATTTTAATGTAGTCAATTATGCAGAGTTAATGTAAACCGGTTGCAAGCGCGAATACTTGTAAAGGAGTGTATGTATGTACATACATACCTATAAAGTATGTATGTAGGTATGTAGTGCGGCAAAGAGGCAAGTGCGGGCAACACGCGATATACACTTGCACTCATCGCCAACAGCTGTTTGAATATGTAGTACTTGCGTTGCTGACAACGAAAAAAATTTATTATAATTCTTGTTCTATCAGTCCGTCAGGAAGGCTTCGATAATTCCGATTTTTTAACTCTGCGTTGACGAAATAGCGGGCGAGCGCTAAAAATATGCTTATAATCTCGAAGAATAGTTCTCAATTTTGGGACCTAATTATGAAATAGAATGTGCTACTTAGAACGTTGCATAATTGATATACTAGACGGTGAGTAACGATGTACTCCCGTAGAGCTAGAGTAGAGCCCGCAACAGCTGCAACAGAAGTGTATACTCGTACATGATTAAATGCGGTAAATTCGTTTGATTTCTATATATACACGTACCAACTAGATTTATTATAGAATAATAAAATATCCGACATTCCACTTAAACTGTGGTAACTGTGGGAAATTCCCCGGTGACGGAGGTCGTAACTTGAATTTAAACACACGTTAAGAGCGTTGTTTACGAGTCGGAGGCACTTGCTACATAAGTAGGTAGATACTCACCTGTGCGGCGCGGCGTTGCCGGCTATTGTGTTTGCTCGCGTGTTGTGTGTTGTGCCCCGTGTTGTGTGGTGGACATACGGCCAACGCGTTATCGTTCACTTAAATTGCTTTATCTTTATGTCCATTATTTGCCAGAAACACTAAAGATAACTGCAGCGGTGTGCTTTGTGTGAGACGAGAATTAGCTCAGTCAATAAATGATGACAATAGCGTGGCGTGGCGCGGGCGGCGGCACCTCATGTCGCACATCGCGAGAGCTCACGGCCGCGTTGTACACAACACAACTGTAATGTGTACTCGAAGGCGATTAGCTAACACCAGTGCATTCCTGCACCGACTCGCGCGTGACGAATTCGCTTGCGAAATGAACGAGTGTGTAATTTATTCAATACACAATTATGTGCAATTGTAGCCCTTATTATCATCATATCAAATGCCAGTATTGAGTGCGCGATTATAGGTTATTGAAAGTGCATTGTCGAGGTGATGTTAATGAGTGCGACTGGTAGGTCGTCGTGAGATGTCTCACTCAGAGCTGCTAATGAATAGCGTGCCGTGTGACCGTGACATGGCGCGGTGGGAGGGGGGGAGAGCGGGGCCTGAGCGGGGAAACTTGACACACATTCCGCTTACGGTCTTACGGTTGAGCAGCAGGGCTCTCGCGCTGTGGCCGCCGCACTAACTACTTATCTGGATATATTATACATAACATTTGAATGTAATGTACATGGTGATATGTCTTGCACAGCCGCCGGTGTCGCCGACGTGTGTGGAGTAGCCGGTGTCGCCGACGTGTGTGGAGTAGCCGGTGACGATACACAGAGCACGTCACTTCTGTTCTCTACTGTGTAAATGGCGTTAGTGTTTTACGGGATTTGACACAATATAAAAAGGTTTTTAAATGAACTCAATGCAATGTTTCGCGCCATTAGGAACGGCTCAGAATTAGGACAAATCGAAGCCAATTAGCATACGGCTCAAGTCAACAAGCTAAAAGGTTTCTTAATCCCTTTGAAATGTATTATTTAAGTCAAGTGTCACACAATACGTGTCGTGTCACACTCGCAGCTCATAGGACTGTCGACGTAACTTGTCATCGCCCATTCTATACGGTTTCTTAATTTGATATTATAAGTATTTCATTGCGGTGGATTTCATTTGTATGTACATATGTCCATCAACTTCATAGTACAATGTTACAAGTAAAGATCGTCTGTGCCCCCCCCCCGCGCGCACACCTCACTGATGTCCCAAATGGTATGACATACACGCGCTGCGTGCGTGTCTCTGCCGCACAATATCCGGTCGTCTGTTCTCCGTTTTCCTTTTCGATGTTCGGTTCTTAAAACCGTTATTACGGCAATTAAGTACCGGAGATTGTCTTTATGATAAACACAACTATATTCCTACATTATTAGATAAACTATTAATTTGATGTTATCTTAGATTAAAACCGCTCGAGGTTTCTAAGTCGGCCGCTGACATATTACATCTAAAAAAGCGACTTATGTATGTTTACAACGAAATAGAGATGACAGAGTATTGATTGATGTGAGCGGAGCGGAAATGTGTCGTCACCACAAACCGACATGGGCACCAGCCTGATTATTGTTACTTTGTATTACATCGACAACACATTACTTAATGCCTAATTAGTTTATAATCGTGAGTCGAGTGCGCGGCGACTTCAATGTGCTCGACGGCCGCTTTCATCTTACCGAATGTAAAAGCGGATGACATTTGACAAAAACAAGCATTCGTCTAACAAAATCTTCCCGTAAAAGATTTCAACGCGCGCGTCATCTCAGCACACGACGCGACGGAGACCCGCCGCACAAACAAATATATCTAGATAAATAAAATTATAATAATAATAAAACCGATGAAACATGTTTCGTTCGAATTTAGAGGAAGGATGACAAATTTAGTGTAAATCTAGAGGATTAACATAACTCTCCGGCGCTTATCTTATCACCTAAGTTCGGCCTACATGTTGTGCTCAGCGGCGGCAGGAACGGTCGACACAATTGCGACACGCAGAATGACCGACATTTGTAAGTACATACTATGTATGTATATGTCTACAACTTTATACCAAATTACCAAAGTAATATAACAAGGCGCAAGCAATAACCTTACTTAGCGCCTCGTGCCCGCACTACACGTAACTTTTAATTATTATTTTATGTAAATACAATATTGCATATATTATAATATGCTTAATATTTAATACAAGCAGGAAACTTTTATTATTTTATAATTGTAATTTACGTTAAATAACCTTTAGCCCTACAGCAGGCGAGTTATTTCAGTATTCAGTGCGGGCGTGCGCAGACGCAGGTATCTAAAGGATTGCATCGAACATTCCAAACTGCGAGTGCGTGTCGTGCGAGAGCGAGACTGCACGCACTAGAGAGGGACGCACGACGCCGACGTCATCGAGTTATCAACTAAAGATGGTGGCACGCGGAGCGTTAGATGTGTCTCTGTGTTAGTGCGTGTACGTGTGCGACCATCACATCTTCTGACGTACTGTACTAAAGCTATTCCTTTATTTTGAAGGATTTTTTACACTATGATAGAACCTAGTACCTTCAAAATATGGTGTTAACCTATATGTTACTGTCAAATTTTAAACTTCATTGATTGAAAAAATTGTGAAAAAATGTATTACAAATTTCCAATTTATAGGATATCCAGCAAAGACGCATACAGAACACCACAGCATCACGACATTTTCCTTCCCTGTAAAGACGACGGATAAAAACAAATGCAATTGGAAAATAGAACAACACATTGATACATAGAAAGTATAGCTGCATAAAGCATCGCGCATTTCACTTATCTTCCTGAGAGAGGCTCGACAAATTCTATCCACATGTTGCAAACGCGAGCTTGCGGACAGACAAACAGACAGACAGACACATAGGAAAATAATATTTTAAAAATTGGTTTTCCGTTATAAGCAACGTAAATATATTATCATCAGTACGAATTTTTGTGATTGATAATTTTTTTCCGATATTACATACAGACACTCCAATTTAATTAATTGTATAGATATATCCTGACCGATCCGTTTGCCCTACATTTTTACCAGAGGACAAAAAAAATTGTAAATTAAATATACATCCAAGAAAAAACTGACAGTAATTGATATGTGAAGGTGATTGCAAAACTGCTTTTGAATTAATAAAGTTTTTTTTATCCCATTCTTTAAAAAAAGAAGCACAATTTAGTGTTTACACAATGATCACAACGCAATATGTAAATGTAAAGTGAAACTGCGCGGCGACGTAATGCGGGAAATATGTCCACTGATAGCACTAATCACAAGGCGTTTGTGAATCATCATTACACTTCTGCTAATGACGAACATTGAGTTCATTAATATTATATGATTTTTTTTTTACCACACACTGTGCATTCAATATCCGTTCGCTTCTTTTTCTTATTATGTTGCCATTTCATAAAAGAGGTTTGCGCCAATCGTTGCAACTTAAACTTTTGGCACTACAGCTCTTAATATTGGACTTGACGTATGCTCTTTTTATGCCACTAGCGAAGATTCTTCAGCCAAGATGTATTTTCGGTTTCTTTCTAGATTCGCTGGCACCAGGGACCTCACGGTCTCAACCTGGGGACTTATGAAGTCGGGCGCCGAGCCTCAGAGGCGTTAGCCAATGGACGAAATATTTTTACTTGACAAACTTTTCGCACAAATCGTTAAAAATAATATTTAGGTTTCTACCGTGCATTGCCTTTGATCTGTCAAAAGTCGGGATAGGGGTGGTGTGGGTGGGGGAGAGCGATCTACGACATGCACACACAGACACTTATTGTCACGCTCAGAGTTTCTCAAGAAACCATTGCGTCAATTTATCATATCAAATACACTATATTGTTTATTGTGCTGCTGCAGTATTATTTTTTTTAGCCGAAATGTCGTTACATATAGTTAACTTGCTAAATGACACGGCCACAGAAATCACATGTGGACTGTAGTTATTCTGTTTCATAGTGAGTATTCCTTGATTCATTCCGTTTCATAAACTTTTAACGAAATAAGTAATCAACGATAACGCTGATGAATTGTCACGCAATTTGTAAACTATTATGACACAGCTTCACCTTTGTCCTATTATGATAATGCCTTATTGATCGTCGGTTGAAATAAACGTTAATGGTCGTCCACGACACTCGTTGTGCTGGCATCTCCCCCGCACGCGAACTGCGTGTCTTCCTCCAGCATGGAACAAACAGGTCCTTTGGAGCAAAGCGTTATAATACGCGACCTGGTGTATTTTACTTCCTTACTGAAAACTATTTGGGCTGTCAAATTGAAAAAAAATAAATAGTGTTACTTGCTTATCATATATATTATGTATGTCCCCTTTGACACCAAATGTAATCCTAATTTTATTTGTTCTTTATTAGAAAAATACTCATTAGCCACATGCAGAACTGACGGTTGTCTTCATGATGAGAACAAGTGTTGTTGTACCGAGCTCGAGGGCTAATCGTGCAGCAACTAATGCTGCTGCAGACTCTACCACAGTTGTAACACACGAGCACGATGGGCCTCATCGCATCCCAGTTTCGGAGGATGCCCATTGCGTAACGCTCGACACGTTCAGAACATAGTAAGAGAAATGAATTTCTAGCAAAAATTAAGTGTGCAGTACACAAGCGTGCACTGCGCAAAGGTCAACTACTCGCGCCTTCATTAGTATTAGAGAGGTAGAGGCACCCGCGCGCCCCGCGCGCCTCTGCGCCGCCGGCGAACGGAAGTTTATGTGCGCGAGGCTTCCGACCGCCGCTTCCTCTGATCTGCCCGCGGACCTCATTTATGTGGTGAGACAGCGCCACTGCTTCGCCTCACCTTGCTGGACATTCCAGACAAGGGGGTCCTCTGGCGTCAGCTAATGCTACCTTCACAGTCTCACGAGCTTTGACCCCCTTCTCAAAATGCACTACACACGTTGAAGGTTTCCGATTCCAACTGTACACCGCGTCGCAATCGCGCGCCGCCTGCTCGTGCGCACCACGATCGTACTCACCTCGGCCGCCTGCAGGTCGACGACACGCCACAGCAAGGATTCTCGCAACACACAACACACTCACAGTATTTGCGATACTTCGCGCCGCGTTGGCGACCCGACGTGCACTGGCCCGGCCGCGCCCCACCGCGCTCCTCTGCCCCGCGCCCCGTTCCCGCGGAGCCTCTACAGGTGAGAGGGGCGCGGGGCAGTGAGGGGGCGCGCGACGTTGGGCCGGGGGGGGGGACCTGATCGCGCGGCGGCCGTGTGCGTTGCGCGCGCAGTCGCAGCGATGTCCGCGAACGGGTCGGCGGCCGCCGAGCCGCGGCTATGCCACGTGCGGAAAGTGCCCGACTTCGATGGCTACGGCTTCAACTTGCACGCAGAAAAGGGCAAACCCGGCCAGTACATTGGCAAGGTGGATGAAGGCTCGCCCGCGGAGGCGGCGGGCCTACGGCGCGGCGATCGCATCCTTGAAGTGAACGGGCAGAGCATCGCGGGCGAGACGCACAAGCAAGTGGTGGCGCGCATTAAGCAACGGCCGGACGACGCCGAGCTGCTGGTGGTGGCTCCGGCGCCAGGAGATCCCTTGCCCGCCGAGCTGGACGCGCCACCCTCGCCCCCCTCACCCACTGCGGCACCTGGCGCACCCGCCGCACCCTCCGGCGACTCTGAAGCGCCGCGTCTCAACCTAACTATGACGGCGGCAGAGATGCGCGCGCACCTCGCTGCTAAGAAGAAGGTGGACCCGAAAAAAGTGCCGATGGACCTCAAGTCCAAGTTCGACATTGTGAAGAAGCTGTGAGCGCGCGCGCGCGGCGTTGCCGCTCCGCGTCGCGCCGCCGCCTTCCTTTGCCATTGATTTTATTGTACATAGGTATTATACGTTTTAAGGAATAATTTCGATAGAACTACATATATGTTATAATTATATTGTAATTTATTTTTATGAGCGTAAATCGATTGAATTTTTATTAGCCGATTATCTAAATGTGTAGTTTAAAGTTATCTACATAATTAAGTCCAATTATTGTTGAAAGATTAATAAAGGATATTTAAAAACTACAGAATTTGCGTTATGATTTGTGTAGAGTGGACGCGGGAGGTGGTTCACGAGGGGCGGGAGGGGGGGGGATGGTTGTATCGTGCTCAAGGACGTGTCGTCGCGGTCGGTGACTGCAGCCACGGCGGTGTGTTCCCATTTTTTTCTCGATATTTTAGTGAGTTGACAACATTGACAGTGCTCTGAAGCCGGCGCAGCGCGGCGCGGCGATGACGTAGCGGCTAGCGGCAGATGACGTGTTCTACACAGGTAGTGGTCGCGGGCCGAGTAGCGAGTGGCGCGGTAACAGCGCGTCGCCCGCCGCACCGCACCGTGCCGCCATCAGCCGGCGGAGTCTAGCGCCGAAACAAAAAGTTACAAATTTGTAATGTCCTCTGCACTCGGTCACATCAAATACTAAACAGCAGAAGTGTAAGAGTGCAGGCGGGGGGGGGGGGGGCAACCGGCTCACTCACCAGTATTTCCCCTCTTGTTAATTTATTAAAACCAATTGATTATTTTTTTTTTCACTTTTTAAAAAGATAAATACAGATATTAAAATATACATCTGACTACCTATCTATTAAAACATAACTAAAGGCCAATTTTAAGGCGAAGCGCCAATAGAATGGTGATTATGGGTATGGACATGAGGTCACGTGGTCGTGGATTCGAATGTTGAGCATTGTTGCGAACCATATTCTAGCTGAATTCAGCTACACAATTGTTTAAGTAATCTGCTAACATCTAAAATATAATACATTGTTTTTCCACAAGTTAATATTTATGTGATAGTTTATGGTATGTTCAGGGCGTCAGCTGGCACACCGCCACACCGCCACACCGAACTATAGGACTAATAAAACATTGTGTACTTCTCTTATGTATACTTAAATCTATCTTGGTGATGACTTTATAGTTTTTTTTTATAATGTTTTTTTATGCACGTCTGTAATTTAATGGTGCTAATCTCGGCCGTGTCCGTGCGCCGGCGTCCGCCTGTGTGCCAGTCACAAGGGCGAGCCTATTGTTAGGCGATACTTGGCGCTAGATTAGTTAATTGTGAAGAACTTTATAACGTTTTGTTCAGCATTATCGAGAAATGTTAAAAAACGATTTATTACACTTGATATGTTATAATATAAATCTTCTAGTTGTACAGGTTGTAAGGTGACATCACGCGGGCGTGACGAGGGTGCGGGGCGCGGGGCGCGCGACGCGGGGCGCGGGGTGCGGGGCGCAGGGTGCGGGGCGCGGGGTGCGGGGCGCGGTTCACGTACAACATATTTTAGATATTTTTAAATAAATTTGTGAAATATCTATATATTTATTAATGTACGAGTACAAGCAAACAGCGGAGTCTAGATAGTTTAGGATCTAGGTATCGTGCAGCTTTCTGTCTTGTTGTAGTTTGTAAAATATAATTTAAAAAACCATAATCCTTCAATGTGATTATTAATATGAGATATATATATATATATATAAAAGAAAGTCGTGTTAATTACACTATTTATAACTCAAGAACGGCTTTACCGATATACCTGAAAATTGTTGAGGAGGTAGCTTAGAGCCAGGAGACGGACATAGGATACTATTTATTCATTTTTTTTATTTATGCCTTGAAGGGCTGCTTTCTATTTAACTTACTAATGGTATAAATGCGAATGTTTAGATGGATTTGATCTGGATGGATGGATGGGTTTTTGAAGATATCTCTAGAACAGCAGAACGGTTTTCGATTAAATGTGGCATACTAATAGAACATAGTCTGAAAGAACACATAGGCTACACTAATATATATTTTATTTTTATATATCCACGCGGACAGAGTTGCGGGTGACTGCTAGTTTATAATATTAGTAAGATTAAATATGTTTTTATAATTTTCTAACAGACCGCATTATAAATACAAATAAATTCAATTCTAATTAAATAAGTCTTCTGTATATAAAATAGGATATTTCCGTTAAATTAAAACATATAGAAATAAAATAAATAATGACTGTGCTCTAATTTATATAACGCTCTATTCGCCCCTGATTAGACAAAAATCAATGTCAGTATTTTAGTTCTCTTTGTCTTCCTACACTGCTGACCTCTAGACGTATTTTGGAGCTGTACCACTTCATCTCCGCATTTGTAGAAAGTCATTAGAGGCTTCCATAGTAAATCTGAGAAAAAAAAAATAACTTAGAAAATCTTAAAAATCGTCTAAGGTGTTCAGTACATCTTGCGGTCACAATGCCTGAGACATATACATACTCGTAGAAACTAGCGAGATATCCAACTGCTGGTATCCCAGTTGATCATCTGGCTTTATTCACATCTAGACGTCGCCAAACTTGCCTAAAACTTGTCTAAAATGCAGTTAATTACGAAACGAAATAAGTTAGTTGATAGTTGATTGTGTTCATGTTGGCATGTATTCGCCGGAAGAAACGTGAAATCGAACGAATTGGATATTTCGTTATTCGTAATGTGAGTTGTTGCAGCAATCATACACAATGTGCTACAAGGATGTGTTACTGGTGTTGGAACAGCGCAACAGGAAACCGAATAGTTGAGCAACGCCGGGCGGCTACATCTATATTTGCATGGGGATTGAAAAGAAATTTATTATACATCCTTATTTCTATAATTACATATAGTCTTAAATCTATGATATAAAAAAAAAAAAAAACGAATAATTCACTAAAATATGTTATTAAAAGGAGTCCCTTTAGGCAAGGTTATGTATAGACATCGATGTCCACGACTGACAGGCAAAGTAGCGCAGTCAAATAAAACGAAAATAAGAGGTGAAGCAACAATGCCTTTCATAGAGGTAAAAAAATATATGTAGGATCGTGTGGAACACCATTATCTTTGAAAAATAACAGCAGAATAAAAAAATAAAAAACTTTTGATATATCCTTTCTTTACAGACTTTCATAATAAACTTTTTATACTTGTTTACACACACTTACTGTTATCACATTAAAAACTTTTTTTTTTTTTTATATCATCACTGTTCAAGCACCTTACAAAAATTATTCATAAATCTTAATCCAATTTATTTATTCATAATTATAATTTAGTAGAAGAAATTATGAACCTGAATAATAACCTCTATTTATATAAAAACGTCTCGCCATCTAGCGGCCGGGAGGATTAAACCAATACAATAATAACAGTAGAAAAAAATATATATTTATATCCAGTCGCTAAGCTGCCATTAAATTTTTTTGAACTGTGTGTTATGACGCAATCACAGCGGCAAAAAACACTAGGGCAATCTCCCGCGAATGTTGGAGGTGATAAAATTATGAGTGGAAACTAAATTTGTTTTCTTAAAGATAGTGGTATTGTCGTTAAAAGTGTTTCTGTTACTTTGAAATATGTGTTTGAAAAACTCCTATTATAAGCAGATGTTATCCTCAATGATAAATAGAATAATGACTTCTATATTTAATTTGATATAGTGACCATAACCGTTTTGCCATCTAGCGACCAGAAGGCTAAAACTGAATGTAAAACCATCGCGCCATCTAGCGACTAGCGGACTAAAACCTTATATATGAAACAGTCGCGCCATCTAGCGAGCAGAAGCCTAAAACTTAATGTGAAGCCGCCACGCCATCTAGCAACTAGCTGATTAAAACTCTTTTTTTTTTTTTTTCAGACGGTAATGCTATAGGCATACTCCGTGCCTCGGGGAAGGCACGGTAGTTATGTGGGATTCTCTCCCCGAATGGGAGCATACCCACTAAACCCCTCTGTTCCCTCATAGCCACAATGTGGGACGCCACGGGATCGTGTTAAATTACCACCGCGACGCCCCACTAGGTAGGCAGGTGCCCCCACCAAGGGGAGAGTTGTAGGGCACTACCTGCAGGGACGGGTAGTGTCCTACATGGGGAGAGAGGGCCGCCAAGAGAGGCGGATGGCCTCCGGTGTTCCCCAGGGGTCTGTATTAGGACCCCTGCTCTGGAACATCGGATACGATTGGGCCATCCGCGGAGAGGTGCTGCCCCGGATGGCGGTCATCTGCTATGCAGATGACACGCTGGTCGCCGTCCGGGACACCACCTGGAAGAGAGGGCGGAGAAGGGCTGAGGCCGGAGTCACCCTGTTGACCCGGAGGATTGAGGCG